TCTTCTTCTTCTTCTTCTTCTTCTTCTTCTTCTTCTTCTTCTTCTTCTTTTTAAATTGTGGTAAAAACAATCACCAGAAAATCTACTTTCTTCTTTTCATTTGTATCTTATAATTATACGAAATAGTGGAATTGTGATATATATATACATAATTAGGTAAATTTATGAAATCTACTTTCTAAATGAAATTTTAACTGCAAATCACAGTGCTTTTAACAACAAAGTTGTATAGATGATATATAGAACTTATTTAGCTTATGTATCCAAGACCTTATACCTATTTTATATAACTCTCATTTCTCCATCCACTCAACCACTAAAAACCACCATTCCATTCTTTCTTTTCATGATTTGGACCATTTTAGATACTTCATCCAAGTGGAATTATCTTTTAAAACTGGAAAGTTTCACTTGGTATAATGTCATCCAGGAACACCCATTCTATAACATATGGCAAGAAGTCCTTTGTTTTAAGGCTGAATAGTATAACACTGTATGTTTGTATCAAGCTATTTTTTTTAACCACTTATACATTAATGGAGACATAGATGAATATCAAAATTGTTTTTATATTTTGAATATTGTAGACAATGTTACAATAAATATAGATCAGAGTTATCACTTCAAAATCCCAATTTCAATTGTTTTGAATATTTACGAAGAAGTGGGATTGCTGGATGGCATAGTTAGTTCTATTTTCTTTTGTATTCTATTCTTTCCTTTTTTTTTTTCTTTTCTTTTCTTTTTTTTTTTTTTTTGGCAGTGAGGTCAGGGTAGAACCCAGGGCAATAAACCACTGAGCCACATATAAGCCCTTTTTCTATTTTTTGAGTCAGGATCTCACTAAATTGCTGAATATGGCCTTGAACTTGGGATTCGCCTGCCTCAGCCTTATGAGGTGCTGGGATTATAGGCATGTACCACATCATGCCCAAACTATTTTTCATTTTGTGAAAAGCCATTGTATTGTTTTCCACAGCAGCCACACCATTTTGCATACCTACCCAAAATGTATTCACATGCTCTCTGGCACCCTCTCCTTTTTTAATGGCTTTTCCAGCAGATGTGAGCCAATAGCTCATTTTTTGGTTTTGATTTGTGTTTCTCTGATGATTCATGACATGAGAATCTGTTCATTTTACTAATGACTTTTGGTGTATTTTCTTTGAGGAAATATTATTAAGTCCTTCCCCCATTGTTTGAATGGGTTATTAGGATTTTTTAATATTGAGTTATATAAGTTTCTTATATGTTTTGCATATTTCATTTTATTTAAGCAGATGTGACTGAGGTCCATTGTGAATATTGATCTTTTGACTTATCTCCAGATAGATGATTCTTGGTTATCACTGGGAACTCCTGCATAGGTAGTTCCTCACTGCTCAGATTAAGATGGCTAGGAAAAGGGAAGTAGCCCCTTGCTAGCCTTCGAAAAAACTATAAGTTGGAAAGTACTCCTCCACTTCATATTTTAGTTGGTCCTCTGAATAGATAAAAGTTTTACCTGTAGCTAGCTATAGGCATGGAAATTCAGCCAATGGAGAATGATAAAAAACAAAACCAAAAATGGAAAATAAACTTGCACAAATAGTAGCAAAAAAAAAAACCAAAACATTGATGAGTATTGTACTATGTTTACTATAAAATTTGTATTAATACAAAGTTTTTATTACTTTGGCTTATTTTTTAAAAATCTTTGCTGTTAGGAGGAAGAACATTGCTGTCTTAATTTTCAAGGTTTCTTTAATAAAGAAGCAAATGTTTACTAGCATCTTAAATTAAGAGAGACATATATATTCTCTTATAATTTGTTCTTGTGAAGTAGGGTGGCTTACTGGAGTCATGAGAGTGTGAAACTACCCCCCCCTCCATTCTTTTTCTTCTTCTTGTTCTGTCTCATAAAGATACTGACTCATTTTACTGAATATAAGCTTAGACTAAGTGTCATGGGATTTCTAATCAATAAAATCTAGTTTCCATTTTGTCTATTTGTGTCTAATCATAGTATAATTCTATAGCAAGTAAGAGTAAATCAGTGTCTCAATTATCATATCAAATCAAAGCAATAAAATATCAAATATTCAAATATATGATATTTAACATTTAATGTTAGAGATATTTTTAGTTTTATATATTTCTTAAAAAGTGTATCTTAAAAGTTTGTGTGACTACTCAGTGGAGTTTTATTCAAATGCTGGTAATAATTGTATGTGTTGACAATAGTAATGAAAAGACCTAATGGCATAATCTTTTTTTTTTTTAAAAAACTCTTTAATATTCTTTAATCTCTTATGGCTTTTATATAAAATATATTAAAATATATGATATAGTCTTTTTTTTCAGTGCTGGGGATGGAACCCAAGATCTTGCCCATATTAGGCAGGTACTCTACCAATGTACTAATGTCCACCCCAGTAAAATTGTAATGGTAATGCACACAGGGAGAAAAAGAGTTTACCTTGATATAGAGAGAGTGTACTTAAACGAAAATTTAAACCAACATATCAATAATATTCTAGATCATATCATTAATTTTTTAGAAATAATAATGAAAAAATGTGACAGAGCATCTAATTTAAATGACTATAAAAATTTCACACAGGTTATGAAGAACATGTGTTGGTGATGTTTTTAAATTCTTGGAAATGAGTTTTTATAAGATGTCAAAAGTCATAATTCACCATATTCCAATGCTATAAAGACAAGGTTACACATATTCCAAGAATCAGTACATGTAACCAATCCACACTTTCAAGCAGGAATATATTTGCAATGTAACACATTTGTTTTAGGAAGTTATGTCATTTTCTTTTGAAATACAAAAAGCAAATTCTATCCAATACTGCCACCATTCTCTTTAACAAATGTTTTTGGTTTTTTTTTCCTCCAACAATTTTGTCCAGTCACAATGAATTGTGGAAACAGGGCCTATGAGAATCTCAAACCTGAATTAAAGAAATGAGTATCCTGTTATTTCTTATCTAAATATGTTCCATCTACCAAGTTTCATGCAGCTTTGTATCACTGTGCTAGACTAAATTTTTGCACATTTCAACAACTCTGTGAGTAATAAATAATTTGAATATAATAATTCATATTTGACACTTGGAAAATTTTATATATGCCAGGAGAGATATATGCCAGGAGAATTTTTACAAAAAAACTCTATAAATAATTTTAAACACCCAAATTCACAAAATATGATTCACAAATATTTACACTATATAGATTAAATAATCAACTCTGGTAGTTTTTTTTTTTTGTTGTTGTTGCTATTTTTTTTTTTGGTTGTTGTTCTTGTTTTTATGTGTACATAGATGTGTAGGTGTATCCTTTAATAAATTGGATAGTATGGAATGTTTTCTTCTGATATATTCTTTCAATTTTTTTGTTTGTTCTTTTTAGTTACACAAGACAGTAGAATGTATTTTTTTAAAGAGATAATTTTTTTAATATTTATTTTTTTAGTTTTCGGTGGACACAACATCTTTATTTTATTTTTTATGTTGTGCTGATTATTGAACCCAGTGGCCCCCTGCATGCCAGACAAGCATGCTACTGCTTGAGCCACATCCCCAGCCCCAGTAGAATGTATTTTGACATATAATATATACATAGAGTATAACTTTCCATTCCTGTGGTTTTTCATGATGTGGAGTTACACTGACATGTATCCATATATGAACAAAGGAAAGAGAATGTCCAATTCATTCTACTGTCTATATTCTAATCTTTTTAAAATGTTAACTTCTCAGCCTCTGCTTATTATTATTATTATTATTTTGGTGGGGTGAGGGTATTGATTGTAGGGCCTTCTGCATGCTGGGCAAGTACTCTATCACTAAGCTACACTGCCAGCCCCTACTTCAAATTTTTTATATTATTTTATTTTGAGATGAGTTTTATGTATATATAGAGAATTAATTGTTATTGCATATGAAGTTCTTAGTATATAATAGATAGATACTCAGTATATACTGCTTATAACCATGTTCATGTCTTATTCTTTTCATTACTATTCTTTGTTTTCCCTTAGTTCTTTTCCTGTTAGCATTAAAATGTTAGCTGCATGATACAGAATCATATTTAACTTAAAAGTCATTACAAAGATAGTTTAGCAAATAAAAATAAGCCATTGCAAATCAGCATGTGAAACATTTATTTTCATTTGCAATTCAACTTTTGTACAATGCAGGTACAGAAAATAAGATGCTTTGTTGAATTTTTCTTTCTACTGAGAAATATGAAAAGAGAATTTGTTTGAATAATATGTATTTTTGGCTACATTTCCGACATTGCTGAAATTTTACTGTGTTTTCGGCTGCATCTGAATGTGTGTGGGGAAAAAAAATGAAGTTTTAAGTAAGCCATAAACACAATTTCATTTCAGTAATCCATATACTTAGCCACAGTGTATTTAAATTGCTATAATATTAACCTATAAACTTAATTGTTTTATTTAGTAAAAAGCCATTTTAATGTGCCATCTCATTAAAACAAATCTTAGAATGCATCTCTTATAAATAAGAAAGAGAAGGAGAGAGGGTGAAAAGAGAGATAAAAGCTAGGAAGTTTTAACACATAACTTTATATCACAGAGTTAACATTAAAATGTTGAATGGTGCATTCAGTCTAAAATATAAAATTAGAATTAGAATAAATAACAGGGATATTAACAACTTGACCCTGGTTTACTTTGCTTTTCTCTTTTATTAACTTGATGGCTATTTTATAGGTGTGTCTTGTGACAGCTAATTCTTCAGTACTTCTACACAAAGAGATTAGGGAATACTGGATTGCAAATCTCATACATATTAATATTGAAAATACATTAGAAAACTTTAGAACTTCATAACTTGACTATTGTCTAGAATATTTCACTTTACATTCTGGTTTAAGGGTATTATTTCAAGTGTCCAAGAATAATTAAGCTCAGACCATGTGTTCTTATTAAACTTCTTAGCATTTGGTCAAACATTTATTTTTATCAGCTTTTTTGGTTTCTAACATCTTCAAAATGTTGTGTCAGAGAACACATTTAAAAACTTTGAGTGACTTACCATAATATCCAGTTGTCTAAATAGCAGATTCAGGGGCTAGAGATGCATGTCAGTTGGGAAAATGCTTATCTAGTATGTGTGAGTCCCTGGGTTCAATCCCCAGTGTTATTATTAAAAAGTTAAAGAGAGACAAAAAGAGGTCTGGGGGGAGCTATTCAGCTGGTATTGGTATGTTTACAAAATTGTACAACTATCATTGTTATTTAATTTCATAATAATTTCATTATCCACAAATGAAACACAGAGTCATTGCCAGTAGCTCGGTAAATTCTCATTCCTCAATACCTGGTTATCCAGTAATCTACTATCTTTCTTTATTAATACATTTATTCTGGGCATTTCATGATTTCATGACATGGATTCATGTCATTATATGACATTAATATGACTTCTTTTACTTGTTAGCACATCTTTAAAGTGAATATTGGAACTTTTATATGGTAAGATTATTAGTTTTACAATTTTTAACATATTTTGAGTAATTTTCCAAACCATTTCTCCTTTTGGAAAGTTTGATTTGTTGAAATATTGTGGTTGTGTTCAAAGGTGAAAAGGAGAATGCAAGCCACTTATACCTTCTAACTGAAGTGACTTGAGGTGCTTGTCCTTCACTCCATTCCTTTCCATGGTTCACTTGCTGTTTTGTGTGATCTGTGAAATAAGGTAATGGTTGGTCTTTGTCTGTCACAGTTGCCAACAGCCATTATGGGCTACATAAAAGCTGTATAAAATCTTTTTATCATGCAGTGGAAGTTTGGCAGTGCAGGTGAAACCTTTTTCTGTCAGGTAATTCATTGTTCCCACCTAAGAACACAATTTAAAAAGACCCATGAGAAATGGAAAATGATCTTAATGTAGATCTAACACTTTTAAGCAGAAGAAAAATGATGAGCTACTTTTACTTCCTTCAGAAATTTAATTCATAAATCAATCTCTCAATTTTATATAAATGGTGGAATGCATCAAAGACAAATCAAAGACTTAGATAAGAGCAACGTAGGTGTTTGAAAATTTCTCCTAGAAGTCCCAAGAAGCCATGTCTTTAGCATGCAAAGTCTCTTCTCAGGATCCTAATTTATGTTAAATATTTTCTAATCATGCAAATCAATACTGATTACAACAAGAATAGGTAGAACACATGCTGGAATATAATTATGGGGTTGCATTGGTAACCTAGTTCATATTCATTTTTCAAAAGTGGATTACTATAAGATGATAAAACTAAGAATACCTTGAAATTCAAAAGTGTCAAAGACTCAAATTAGAGTTAACTGTGCAGGAATTGTGTCAGTTCAATTCTTTATTAAAATTAAATAGAACAACAACAGAGGAAGATATTCATTAATTTGATTCTGGGTCACTGATTCTAAATTTAATTGTAGCCTTATAAAAGTGATATTATTATACTTACTGTATAATTCATTGAAATTTATAAGTAGAAGAAAAAACTGGGTGTAGTCAACAGACAATGCACCTGTCAAAATAATGATCCTGGAATTACAGATGAAAGGTGCCCTACATGCATATAACACCAATTTACTACAGTGGCCTGTGTGTTTGAGGAGAACAGCATAAAGATGAAAGTATGGACACAATAAGACTTTCACACATTAAAACACAACTCCTCTCATGTGCTAGCTGAGTGAATTTTAATTAATTAATGATGTTTTCTAGAACCCACATTCCTCATCTACGAAATGAAATTGTTCATAATAAGACCTACTAGAAATTGTGACAATTGAATGAATTATGTTATGGAATTGGTACTCTGTTGGGCATATGATTAGTTTGTAGCTTACAGTCCTGTTTTACAGTGTGTTTGCATGAGCATCACCACAAACATCTGAGGAGTCAGATGCGCTGCCACCTTCTTATGGCTACCAGATGATACGAATTCTCCAGTTGTTGTATGTGGTCTGTCATTGACCAGCATGTCCATACATAGCACATGACTATACTATTTTATAATGCAGTTCTTTCAAGCTTTCACCCCTTTGCAATTTAGTTATTTTTTTCTTTAAACTCAAGGTTTGAAAATTAAGCCTCATAAAGTAGCGAGCAGATTAGAACTAGAAAACTATAAATGTATAGAATTCTAACCCATCAATTTTAACTCTGATTGTATTTCTATGTTCATATCTTTAAAGAGTCTTTAGGTCAATGAAGTTTAATAAAATTTAATAGAAAAACTAACAAATCAGATTTTAAAGAAATCTATGTTTAGAAACAGGATTTATTTTTCTTGTTATTCCTTTTTAATTTTTGACATTAATTATTTTCCAGGCAAATATAAGCATCTAAACTCATGTTTTACTCATTTATTTTAGATTCAGAATCGTTATGTCATAAAGCATATGAAGTACACAGATGGAAAAGATCTATAAATTTCCAGACTAATAAATGAAAAAATAATAGAACCATAAAAGCCAGACTTTATTTAAATTTTGACATTTTACATCCTGGTTTCACCATTATATTAGAAATTGATAAATAGCTCAATTATCCCATATTCTTTTCATCTGTGAGTTTATATGGCAGCTTTGAATGAACCACTCATTTTTCATCTTTTTGTTATACTTGCTTTGCAAAGGATTGCCATCTACTATCTTACTGGCATCTTGCTAGCATATTAATATTTTAACAAATATTAAGTTGTTTTGTTAAATTTTTAATATAAGGATATTAAATAGATTAAATACAATGGAATTGGGTTTTGTGTGAGTGTGCTTATGTGTGTTTAAATTGTTTTTATTTTTATAAACCTTATCAAAATACAGGAAATGCTATTTTACTTGATTACAAGTAATATATAATAATATAATGAATAATTTTCTAATTTTTCAATATTTACTAATACCCATATGTAAGATCCTGCATAATTCCTATAGAATTAAGAGAGTAATAGATTAAATAAACACTCTCTGAATACTAGAATAAAACAGTTTTAAAACACAGTAAATTTAATCATGCTTTAGGATAATTACTCTTGAAATTAAATAACTTTTATCTTGGAAGGATATCATAATATTTATGAAATTTAACATTAAGGATTTGTTTTATGTGTTGTTGAATATACATTTATTTTAATTAAGACAATAGTTTTTAAAAAGTTTTTTAATTGATAAATAATAGTTACATATATTTATGGGGTGAAAAGTCATATTTTAATGTGTCTATATTGTAGAATAATCAAATTACAATAAGTTTCATGTTCTTTACCTCAAGAACACTTAAAATCTCTGTTTTAGTTATTTTGAAATATATAATACATTATTTTTAACTATGATATCTAATGTTATAATTAACTTAGGTATGGACTTTTAAGAGAAGTCTCTCCCATAAAATATAAAATAAATAAGGGTAAACTATTTGAAATGAAGATTAGCACATTTTTAAAAAATACACAATACATATTTTTGTAGAATTCTTACATTCTCTTTACTTTTGTAAAATAGATTTGTATTTATGTTGTCAAATTAAGACTAAAAATATTAAAGTCACTGCTTTCTTGTAAACTCACATGAAAACATAAACTAAATTATTAGGTAATATTTTTATTCCCTTGGTTCTATACTATTTCTATTTCCTTATTGAATATTTCACAAAACCTTCCTCAGTGGTGGTCTAATTGTGTACTAAGAATATAGTCTCTCACTTTACGAATCTACTCCTCATAGTGTGAATAGTTGTTATCCTAAAATACAATTTATATGAAAGTAAAAGTACTCTTTTTGCAACTGGTGAAATTTTAAGATCAAATGCCATATTGCTTTATGAAATATTATATTATTCAATATTTCCATTTTTATTTTCTATTTTATATCCAAATATGTTTTATACTCCAACCAGTTACTAGTTTGTCATTTTATAAAATGATGGGAATATGGTACTTCTCCTAACACGTGTTGTCTTTAAAAATCTTCCATTCTTTTCTTTTTGCTTTGTCTTCATATAAAACCTATTATCTATTAAGGTTGAACCCAAACCTTTTTATGAAGACTCTGCTTTTTCATCCAAATGAAAAAACTTCCAATTTTGTAAAATCAACATTAATTATTTGTTTATGATAAAATACTTATTTATTTTGCTTTCCACTAAATTAAATACTTGCTTCTTCATTTGGTTAAAAATGTCTTGAATACAAAATTTATATTAATTTTATTTCCACTTACTCCTTTTATGTTTCAATTTCTGATCAGAAATATCTTTATTCTTCAATTATTAGAATACCAAGTATATTCAGTATGTTCATTGTAACTTCATTTTTTTGATATTTAATATGTTAGAACTTTAACTGAAATTATTTCATACCTAATCACAGTAGAATAAAAATGTAAATCAACAGTAAGATAAACTGCTAAAATCATACTCACATGGAGACTAAATATAACACAGTATTTAATGAACAGGGTTTGTTAAGGAAATCAGAGAGGAAAGTTTAAAATTTCTTGAATCCAATGAAAATGAAAAGATAATTTACTCACAAACATGGGATACAGCAAAAGAGGTAGTAAGAAAAATTTATGGTAAGGAATGTCTCTATCAAAAATGTAGAGTGATGTAAAATATCTTAGTAATGTGTCTGAAAGTATTAGAATAACAGAAACAAACTAAATCTCAATCAGTAGAAGAAAAGTAATTAGTAAATTTCTGAGAAAATAATAAATGAAATAGGGACAATGCAAAGAATCAATAAAATTAGGTGACTGTTTTTTGAAAAGATAAAACAAAATTAACAAACCTTAAGTTAAACTAACCAAAGTATATAGAAAGTGCAAATAAAATTGGAGATAAAAAGGTAGACCTTACAACAGATACCACTGAAATCTAAAACATTATTGGGAAATATTTTGAAAAAGCATATGCCAATAAGTTGTAAAATCTAGAAGAAATTCATAAATTTCTGGACACAAAATTACCTACCAGGTGGATGTAAAAATAAGATAATATAAAAATATTAAATATATCATTAATAATTAGTAAAATTGCATGATCCTCTCAATGAATTCAGAAAAAAGTCTGATGAAATTAAACATCCCTTGATTATGAAAACTCGAATAGATTAGATATAGAAGGTTCATATCACAACAAAATAAAGAACAAATATGCCAAATCCATAACTAATATCACACAGAATGTGGAAAATCTGAAAACATTTCCAGTAAGATCAGAAACAAGGAAAGTTTGTCAACCATAAACAAATTATATTATATAATATAATTCTAGGAATTCTACCAGAAGGCAAGTAAATAAAAGGTATACAAATCAGAAAAGTTGCCTTCAAATTATACATAAATGATATAGTTGTTGTTATGGTTTAGACTTTAGGTGTCCCCCAAAAGCTCATGTGTGAGATAACGGGAGAAAGTTTAAAATTGAAATGATTGGGTTATGAGTGTTGGAATCTAATCAGTGAATTAATCCCTTGATAGGCATTAACTGGGTGGTGACTGCAGATATGGTATGATTAGAACAGGTGAGCATACAAGGGTATGCCTTTGGGATATATATTTTGCTCTCTGTGAATAGAGATATCTCTTCTTCCAGCTGTGATGCAGTGAGCTGCTTTCCTCTGCCACACACTTCCTCACCTCTGGCCCAGAGCAATAGAGTTGGTCATATATGGACAGAGACTTCTGAAAAAGTGATCCCCAAACAAAGTTTTCCTCCTCTAAAATTGTTCTTTTCAGGTCTTTTGGCTACAGCAATGAAAAAGCTAATTACACAGAAATTGATACCAAGAAGTGGGGTTGTTGCTGTGACCAATCTGACTTTGTGGTTAAGAAACTTTTGGAGCACTTAGG